TATGCAGCAGCAATACCCACCTGCCACCCTAAGCAATGTTCCCCTGGCGCACCAGGGCCCTGACATTTGGGGGGGTGGGTGTGGGAGTGAGCACCGGCCCGCAGCCCAGCCACACTCCCAGAGTATTTCCACAGGAGAGAGATCCTGGTTCCCAAGTGGGAAATGTACCAGCATAGGTTGGGCCACCAGCTGGAAAGCAGCTCTGTGGGGACGGACCCTGGGATCCCACTGGGCGCCAGCTGAGCAGGAGCCAGGGATGTGTGTCCTCACCACAGAGGCCACCAGTGGCCCCAGCTGCACCGGGCAGAGTGCTGCCAGCAGAGCAGGTAAGGGGGGCACCGGTGGGGGGACATGTCACTGTGTCCTCTCCAGCTGGGCTCACCCAGGCAAGGCATGGACTTGCTGGGGTGAGTCCAGCAAAGGGCCATGATGGTGGTGAAGGGACTGGAGCATCTCTCCTATGAGAAGAGGCTGTGAGAGCTGGGTCTGCTCAGCCTGGAGCAGAGGAAGTTTAGAGGGAAACCACTAACGTACAGAAATCCCTGCAAGGATGGTGTAAAGAGAACGGCGCCTAGCTCTTCCCAGTGGTGCCCAGTGACAGGACAAGGTGCAACAGGCACTAACTGGAGCACAGCAGTTTCCTGTTGAACATCAGGAAACACCTTTGTACTGTGACAGTGAAGCACTAGGACAGGGCGCTCAGGGAGGCTGCAGAGTCTCCGTCCTTGGAGAAACTTGGCGATACACCCAACCAGAGACGGTCCTGGACCGTGAGGCAGCTTCAGCAGGGGTTGGACAAGCCGATGGCTCCGTGGCCTGTACCATACGCAGCGTCCATGTGCACGCACATGCCTACACCCTGTGCAGGTGCATGCACATGGTTGGGCATGCATGGGACACGGGCACCCCCACACACACACGGAGAGGTGCACGTGTGCACAAGGCGGGTGTGCAGACACCTGCACACACACCCCCACCCAGCCACACGCACATGCCCCTGTGCCCTCCCGGGGGTTCTGCACCGGCATGGGGCTGGGGCCGCCCCACAGAGCTGCACCTGGCGGGGGG